ATAATGAGCAGCAACAGAAAAGGAACCAGAGAGAAACAATACTAATAAAATGGAATATAATGGCCAGATGAGAACAGCAGAGATTCATTAATATCCACTGCTGCTGGCTAAAAAGTGATAATGGTTTTATCCATTTTATAGAAAATGGAGAAATCTCAAGAACATTCCAAATTTACCTTTGTACATTTACCAAAAAAAGAGAGAAGAGATAAGAAAAATAATAAGTTAGGCCTGAATACTAACATTTTAAAAATACAGCTACTCAGATGCTGCCTGTTTTATCATAATACTGGAGGCCCAGTGCGTGAAATCGCAAGAGACCAACCCACTGCGCCGGCGGGACCCAGACCCCTGCCACGCCACAAGACCCAACAATGCACCTCCTGGTGACCGGTCGTTTGGTTGTTATGCCATTACGGCATTACGGTCACTCTATTTTTATAATATAGATAAGGAGAAATGAGGAGAAACTAACATTTCTAAAACGGTGCAGCCTATCAAATACGACTGAAATAGAAATTATAAGATCACAGTTTGAGGTGACACTGTTTAAGCTCAGGTTCACAAAAAAGAAATACCATTCAATTATGATAAGAAAAGTCATATTCTAAAATGTACATTGGTCAAAACCATGGTTACTAGATTCTCCCATATCCAAGACTAAGGCTACACTGAACACTGTTTCTTAAGATAAGGAAATGGAGTAACAGACACACACCAGTGAAATATCTCAATCTACACAGAACAAGTGAAAAACCTTTGTAGAATGCACCATGAAAAACTTGTAATGATTTCCAAAATGAATTTAAAATGCATTTATCTTTGAGGCAAAGCAAGAAAGAGAATGGAGAAAAGCAAAGAACAATTCACCTTGTAAATGGACCAATTTCTTTTCAAGGAAATGGCAGAATTTGAAAAAGAAAATCATAAGACAGGGCATTCTTCTGTAGAACTATGGATTTAATAATACTATAAGCAAAACCTATAATATGCAATTTGAGCCAGATGGCAACCGATGCAAAGAAGAAACAGAACAAGTCCCTCAAAGTCAAATGAATGTCTCATGAAGAATGAACTGCTGCCATCTCCATCACAACATCTGGAGATGAGGTTTAAAAAACACACACAAAAACACACACACAACTTATTTTGAGAGCAAATTAAAATGTATGTTTACCTGACATTGTGGCTACTCACAGGAAAAACAAATAGTTTCCCACCATCTCTACTATATTGTGCTCTGGTACTCAAAAACCGTATGTCAGATAAAGAGCCAATGAGGGTTAGCCATAGAAACAAGGACATTTAAAGCAAACATTTTTTTTAGCTATCTTAAGTTTTTCTTTTTTTCAAAAAACAATGAGGCCAGACTTGCTAGCTGTATGACCTGGGCAAGCCACTCATTCTTTCTATCTGGGGTTCCTCTTCTATACAACAGGGATAATACCTCACAGGGTTACTGTGGGAACTAAATGATTTAATATGTGTTAAAAGCTTAGAATAGTACCTGGTGCACAGTATGCACCATATAAATATTTGTTACAAAAAAATTAAGATATATATATATATATTTATCTACTGATGGACATTTGGGCTGCTCCCAAATCATGGCTATTGTAAATAACACTGCAATAAACATAGGAGTGCATATATTCTTCCCGAATTAGTGTTCTGGTGGTGGTGTGTGTGTGTGTGTGTGTGTGTGTGTGTGTGTGAAGGGATTGAGCAAAAAAGAAAAGAGAAAAAAATCATGGACATGGACAATAGTGCAGTGATCGCTGGGGAAAGGGGGGGTGGGATGGGGGGAAGGGGGTTGAAGAGGGTATAGTCAGGATAAATGGTGGTGGGTGGAAACTAAAATAATAATAAATAAGTTAGTTATATAATTTTTATTAAAAAATATTTGAGTCGCCCTGACTGGTTTGGCTCAGTGGATAGAGCGTCGGCCTGCGGACTGAAGGGTCCCAGGTTTGATTCCAGTCGGGGGCATGTGCCTTGGTTGCGGGCACATCCCCAGTGTGCGATGTGTGGGAGGCACCCAATCGAGGTTTCTCTCTCATCGATGTTTCTGACTCTCTATTCCTCTCCCTTCCTCTCTGTAGGGGATCAATAAAAATATATTTGAAAAAAAAATATTTGAGTCAAACCCTATGTTAGGCTCTGAGTGTACAAAGACCAATACATCAGGATGAGAAGACAGGTGGATAAACAATCATCACAAAAGAACAAGAACGGTGCAGTGACAGAGATGAGCACAGTCCACTTGCGAGCGCACAGAGGACATTGAACTTAACTGCGTCCTCATTGAGGCTGAGTCTTCACAATGACGCCCTTCCTAACCGAATCAGACTTGGCCATATCTACCCAATTCCCACAGGAGAAGGTGCCTACCTTTGTCAGCGAAGAGAAGCTGGTCACAAAGAACAAGTCAGGTAGCATAGGAAACAGGTGACAATCTCCTCTTAGTATTCAAAACGAAACGTGGTTTCCCTCTCTAGGTTCAAATGGCAGAGCCTACAAGTAGCCTTTCACTCTCAATTTCATTTTCATTGCAAACAAGACATAACCTAAAATTTGGCCACCAGGTACTTCTTGAAAATATGGTTTTAAAATTTCCTCAGCATTAAGTCAAAATGAAAATTCAAGTATCTTTTTTTGAAGGCATACTATTGTCTCCATATACTTGACCAACATTTTCATTCTAGTATTTGTGATTTTTTAAAAAAATTATTTTTAGTTTTGCCCCTCAAAGTTAAGGTTAAGAAGGGCAGTGTTAACTCTGGTTGGTCTCTAGTGAAACCTCCAAGATTCACTATGTTAGATTCACTAATCCCTGAGAAAGTTTTCTTTTCCCCAGTTTCAGAAATAGAAAAAGGCCTCTTTATCTAGATTCTAGATGCCTTGAGAGCCTCTAGTGCTGATTTCTTGACTGTCTATCCTTAAGGTCATAAGACTCTATGCTGGCCACTGAAAGGTCCCTTCACCTCCCCTCACATACCCTTGGCAATGGGCTGCCCTTTATTTCTGTGTCCTGTAACACACCTATGTCATGTAAAGGAAGGAAGGGAAAACGCCAAAACAAAAGTAAAACATCTGATCTTCATGCTACAATTTTCTCTGTCCCACCGGGAGCAATAGGCAAGGACCACCTTAAAAACCGCCTGCTGTTTTCAAAGTGGCAGGAAAAATCCAGATAAACAAAATCAAGACTGACTGTTCCTCTTCATTTTACAGCCTAGGTTTTCAGAAAACAGAACAAAAGAAAGTATTTCAAATTAGAATACAAATAAACCATTCATACTTTGGCCATTTTTTTATAGATGTTGTGACTTCAAAAGAAAAGCAGATTTTTCTAACCAATGGACACAGACACGGGTGGGGGGGGAGGTGAGGGCATGAGGGGGGGCAATGGGGCGATAAGGACACATATGTAATACCTTAATCAATAAAGAAAAAAAAATTTTAAAAATCTAAGTTTTACCACATTCCAGCAAAATTCTTTCTTTTCTTTTCTTTTTTTAAGTTTTCCATATGTCCAAACTTTAGGTTAAAAACTGGAGTTTTCTTGGCCAAAACTCTTAACCCACATGAGGCAGCTCAGCTGCCTCTACATTGAACAGCAATGGTGTTCTTCAGAAGGGCTGCACAAAGCCATTCGGACAGGATTCTAATTCAGAGGGGAGGATAATTCCTGAGCACAATTTCCGTGCTTTAACACAGTAGGAATGACTTTGACTGTACTACACATTTTTTTATATATATATTTTTTATTGATTTCAGAGAGAGTAAGGGAGAGGGAGAGATAGAAACATCAGTGATCGGCTGCATCCTGCACGCCCCCCACTGGGGATCGAGCCTGCAACCTGGGCATGCGCCTAGACCGGGAATTGAACCAGTGACCTCTTGGTTCATAGGCCAATGCTCAACCACTGAGCCACGCCAGCCGGGCTGTACTATACATTTTTTTTCTAAAATGTTTTAATATACAAGACTTATCTTCATCCATTTGAAAATTTAAATTCATATGGATAAGAAAATGAAATAAATTCCTGGAGAGCGAGAAGTCAGTCTGTAAAGCTTGTTTCACATCACAACTGGCAAAGTTCTGAAACTTCATTTAATATACCATTTGACGAAATGTATGTAAATGTTTATCTACAAACACTCTCATATATTTATGTGACTAATACATATACACACAAACATAAAATCATGCAAAATATTTTAATTTTATCCAGTTAAAGCTTTTGTAAGTTACCAAGTCACTTTTATGATTCTATAAATTTAAGCATGAGTTAGGAAAGACTTATTAGTGTTTTCCTTATGGACAATGAGTAACAAACAGGCACAAACAGGCCACCTGATCTTCATTAAGCAACAGAACAGTAGCCTGCTTTACCACTCCTGCTGTGCTTTCACACAACCAGGAGCGTCCCACTGACCCACAGCTGCTTCCCGACACTTGGGCCCCAGGAACAGGAGAGGAAAGGGAAAGAGGGAAGTAGAAGACACCAGCTCACCCGACCAGTGTGGCTCAGTGGTTGAGCATCGACCTATAAACCATGAGGTCACGGTTTGAGTCCTAGTCAGGGCACATGCCTGAGTTGTGGACTCCATCCCTAGTGAGGGCCGTGCAGGAGGCAGCCTATCGATGATTCTCTCACTTGATGTTCCTATCTCTCTTTCCCTTTCCCTTCCTATCTGAAATTAATAAAAATATATTAAAGATTAAAAAAAAGACACTGGCTCAATCACATACTGCACTTCCATGTTTTAGGACAACATTCCAGGGTGGGGCAAAAGTAGGTTTACAGTTGTGAGTACCTGAAACAAAGTTTGTATATTATTATTTATTAACTGTTGTATTTTTCATACAAACAACTGTAAACCTACTTTTGGCTCACCCTATATATACTGTGAGACAAAGTAAAGGGCAAATGACTCTTCTGATGTCATGCTGATCCAATAAAGACAAGAAAGGTAAGAATAAAGACGCTTACCTGTTGTTCCTGCTTTCTGGCAGCATCAAGCACTGAGAGAGACACGGTGAGCTTCTCTTGCTGTTCTGATAGATATTTTTGATAGAGGCTTAGAAGATCTTGGCATTCTCTATACTGCAGCTGAAGAGGTGAGATTGCAAATTAAGGGGAAAAAGACCTAGTAAATGGATTCAAAGTGCATCCATGAGTGCTGCTCTGCAGATCCCAATAAGCAGAATAGAGACAGAAATGCACCCATATTAGGTGAGAGTGCAGGTAAGTGCAGTCTTCAGATGAACACAGTAAAAGTATTCCACCCCCACCAATGAAATAATATTCACGAAGAGTAGCAATGAGTATCTCATTTAAGAGACATTTCTCTCTAAACATTTAAATTTGAATAAATAAAAACAAATGCAAACACATGCAAAAGAATGAGGTTGGACTTCAACCTCACATCATATACAAACTAACTGAAAAGGGATCAGTGACCTCAATGCAAGAGCTAAAACTATAAAACTCATAAAAGTAAATCTTTGTTTCTTGGATTAGGTAAGGACCACTTAAAAAACAGCAACTAAAGAATAATTCAGCAAATTGGACTTCAAAATTTAAAAGTTTGTGCTTCAAAGGAAGAAATTAAAAAGACAATCTCAATGAGGGAAATTATTTGCAAATCATATATATAAGGGACTGATATCCAGAACATAAGAGGACCTTACATGACTCAACAATAAACACTATTAACCTAAATAAGAATGGGCGAAGGACTTGAATAGACATTGCCCCAGAGAAAATATACAAATGGCCAAACAGCATAAGAAAGGATACTTAGCATCACTAGCCATTAGGGAAATGCAAATCAAAACCACAACAAGATACCACTTTGTATCTACCAGGATGACTATAACAAAAAAGACTGACAATAATAAACACTGACAAGAATATGGAAATATGAGAACCCTTCTCCATAGCTGATGGGAACATAAAATGGTGCTGCTGCTTTGGAAAATAATTTAGCAGTGTCTCAAAAAGTTGATAGAGTTACCATGTGAGCCAAGAGAATTGAAAATATGTGCCCATGTAAAACTTTGTACATACATATTCAAAGCAGCATTATTCATAACTAGAAACCCGATGCACAAAATTTGTGCAAGGGGCTCGGCCCTCGCACCCCCGGCTGCCGCCTTGGTCCTTGCAGCCCCGCCCACTGGTCATTCCGGAAGGTTGTTCTGCCATCCAGTTTCATTAGCATATTAGCTCTTTATTATATAGGATAGTAAAAAAGTGAAAACACCTAAATGTCCACCAAGTGATAAATGAATAAATAAAATGCGGTATATCTACTAGTATGCAATGGAATATTATTCAGCCATAAAAAGAAACAAAGTATTGCTACATGCTACTAAATAAATGAACCTTGAATACATTACACTAAAGAAGCCAGACACAAAATACTATATATTATATGATTTCATTTATATGAAACTGTTGCTCTTCTTTTTGTTTGTTTTGAATACCTCTTCCAATAAGCTAGGACAGTGGTCAGTAAACTGCGGCTCGTGAGCCACATGCGGCTCTTTGGCCCCTTGAGTGTGGCTCTTCCACAAAATACCACGTGCGGGCGCGCATGTACAGTGCGATTGAAACTTCGTGGCCCATGCGCAGAAGTCGGTATTTTGTGGAAGAGCCACACTCAAGGGGCCAAAGAGACACATGTGGCTCGCGAGCCGCAGTTTGCTGACCACAGAGCTAGGGGAAAGAACAGTACTCAGTTCTAAGGATACCAGGTCACAATAACAGTTACATACATCCATGGCCACTTTCTGTTCCCTTCTCCAACTTTGTTAAGTACCTAGTATATGAGAAAAACTGCAGGGAAGAAAAAGAAATGTCCAGGACAGGCAAATCCATACAGACAGAAAGTGCATTAGTGACTGTGAAGGTCTGGGAGGGGTGTGGGGGGTCAGGAAGCAACTGCTAACGGTTACAAGTTTTATGGGGGAGGTAATAAACATACTCTGGGAGTAGATGCTGTCTTTAGGAATACATCAAAACCATTGAGTCATATACATTATAAGGGTGAATTTTATTATACATGAATTATATCTCAATAAAGCTGTTAGCAAAAACAAACCCACAGAAAACAAATACAGGGTAGAAGTGATCGTATTAGTCTGGTAAAAATAACTACTGCCTAACTTACATGCACCGGGACACTAGTATTAAACATAAAGAAATATAATTAGATTTTTGTCTTGTTTGCTTGGTTTTTTTTTTAAATATAATTTATTGATTTTTTACAGAGAGGAAGGGAGAGGGATAGAGAGTTAGAAACATCGATGAGAGAGAAACATCGATCAGCTGCCTCCTGCACATCTCCCACTGGGGATGTGCCCGCAACCAAGGTACATGCCCTTGACCGGAATCGAACCTGGGACCTTTCAGTCCTCAGGCTGACGCTCTATCCACTGAGCCAAACCGGTTTTGGCGGTTTGCTTGGTTTTTGAATACTGTTAATTAAGTCAGTGTTTCAATAATAAAACCATCATGAGGACATTTTCTGTCCATATACCTTCTTACATTTTTTACAGTCTAGTACTGTGGTCGGCAAACTGCGGCTCACGAGCCACATGCAGCTCTTTGGCCCCTTGAGTGTGGCTCTTCCTAAGCCTTAGGAGTACCCTAATTAAGTTAATAACAATGTACCTACCTATATAGTTTAAGTTTAAAAAAATTTAGCTCTCAAAAGAAATTTCAATCATTGTACTGTTGATATTTGGCTCTGTTGACTAATGAGTTTGCCGACCACTGGTCTAGTATGAAGAACATAGCAACCTAACCTGGGGTACCTTTTCCAACAGCTCCTCAAACTTGTGAAGTGCTCAGGATGAAGATGATAAACATAAAAGGTCACCTAACTGTGTAGATCAGGTGTCTGGGAGACAGACAGTTCTATCCAAGAGTCTGTTCCTTACTTCTCATTGTGGAAATTTCCTCCCAAGGCCCATATTTCTTTCAGATCATTTCTGAATCTCACCCTTACACTTAATTATGTATGCTGTTGGTATAAAAATTACTGTCCAATGAGATTATTCTGTATAAATACTTTTACAACAGGTCATCATGATTAAAGTGGGAATAGTATTTCTTAAATGTCACAAATGGTGATTGGTTTCAGTATTCCGTAACATTTTCATAACCTAATCACCACTTCTGGGCAGATTCCTGTTCTAATAACCTTGTCAATCATGACTGCATAAATAACCACTTGCTTCGTTATTCTCATTATTAATCTTTAGCAAAAAAGGAACCAGAGATGGCTTGTAGAAGAGGAACTGGTTCATAATGAAAGGAGAGGTTACTAAGCTCAAAGAATACAGTAATTAGAAGTGCTTGTTGAATACGCTGCATCTTAAAAACAACAGTAACAACAACAGACTGAACGGTGATCTAAATAAGCTTAATATTTTTTCAAAGTCAACCTATATCCAGCTATGAGGGCAGGTAATGAAACACATACTTAAAATAACATCTGATGAGAGTAGTGGCAAGAACATTATGTAGTGCTATGCTAGCACTTCCTAAGAGGACTTAAATGACCAAGGAACCACAGAAAACCTCTTGTAGAAAAAACTTCAAATTAAGAGAAGAGGACCAATGTAACAACATAAAGGGCAGGCAGAGAAAAAGGAATCAATGAAAAGATGTGGTCATCTGTGTCGAATGCTACAGAGGCCACACCAGTTAAAGACTGAAAGTAGAGGAAGCTACTTGAGGAAGCTACAAGTGTGACATTTCTTAGGTGTTCACCATTTCCCCCAATGTTTTGATAGACAAAAGTTATGTTATTTTCATATCAAAGAAAGAAGCTCCTGGACAGAAAATGATGTTTTATTTAGGGTCACCTTGAGATACAAACAGCTGACTATGAGGCTGCAACTTGAAGCTGTCGATTAGTCACCGACTCCCAGGGAAACATAGAAGTTCAAGATTTTCACTGGGGCAGGTACTCCTTTCACTCTGAACACCCACATACCATATAATATAATATATAAAGACAGCATCTAATATGTATGCTGCTTATATTTGCCTGCCCTCAATGTGACAAAATTCCTACTTATCCTTTCAAACTTGTTTTTATTTCATCTCCTTCTCCAAGCTTTCACTGACCTCCCAGGTAGAGTTAAGCACCTTTCTTTTAGTGAATGGTGGAGAGCTAAAATTATTCAGTTATATTATCATTACCTGAAGTGGCTTGTATGTTTTCGGAAATCACAGTATATTAATCTTGGTATCTTTCTAGAACACAGAAGACATGCCACAAATGTTAGAGGAATGAATAAAGGAATCAAGGCAAAGGAGTGCCTATTGAATTTCATGTTAGCTTTGAGTTTAGAATTGAAACAAACCAGAGACAGACCATGTGGTCTTTAAACTAGCCAAGAGGAAGGCTAAAAATACTGACTCATTAAAAATTTTAAATTGTTCCAATCTCACAAGATTTTCCCATCTGAAGCAAGTATGCTTTCCGACCATGCCACATTTTCCTCACAGGCATGTCCTTTTCTCTCCTTTCAAAAACCCTGCATGTTCTTTGACATGAACACTAAGGTCCAAATAATATACGTAGTCTGGTACTCAATGAAAATATATGCAACTGAAAATTGTTTGTTGGTAAAATAAAAACTGATGCCAGATGAACTGATTAGCGGAGATAGACAAAAGTGTATGTACACTCTTTTATTAAGTTGTGATCTCTGCTGGAGTACAAACCACTGATACAAGTCTGAAATTCCCCGTTAATTAAAAGAGAAATTTATGGCAAATTCCTTGCAAAGCCACTGAGTTTTTCAATTTCCTGATGATAGTTATCACTGGGAAGGAGAAGAAATCTCTAAAACAAACAGGGGAAAACTCAATGCTCTGGATACTTACAAAGGGAAAGAAAGAGTCAAGTGCCTCACACCCAGTTTCTTCTGGACTCTACTCAGTCTGCTTAAACAGCAATAAACATGTGAGCCATAAAGAGATGTCTAGTTAGAGTAATTAACTTGCTTTTTTAGTTTTCTAAGCATTATATTCGCCATCTTGTTTCCTGGAGAGTTACAGACAAGGTAGAATAGAAACATACTTGGAACTGAGACAA